AAAATTTAGGGTGGCCCTATATTTATGAAACGCAGTGTATATATATATATTATATATATATTATTTACTTACTTGGTAAGTAAGTAATATATAATGTATTGCTATGATGTATATATATGTATATTTGTTTTTGACTGATTCTTTGGCAGAACCTTCTTCAAATATTTTCGACTTTCCCGCGATGCAAAATACTCTGAAGCTAACTTCCCGCCAACAGGACGTTTTTTTTCCAAAAAACTGCAAAAGTTGGGTTTTCCGAATTTTTTCTTCGCGTATAAAACTGTTCGGAAACTCTTTGTTTCAACAGTAGATCTCTAATAAGGGACGAAACTGTAGTACTCGATCTCTGACCGTGGAGCAGCTCTCCGCCATTGCCACGGGCAGTAAGCAGGAATTGACCCATGCTCAACATCCAAAGCTGTTTGTTGTGTCATTGCCAAAGATTACGAAGGATAACGGAAGTTGTGAGTCTCTCACGGGCCCAGTCAAACAAACCAGCTCGATAAGGTCAGGATTGCCGCTTCTGAGGACGACAGGAAGATCATTTGTACGTAGACCCAACATCACAGACGAGCATCTTCCGATATAATAGCCTAAATATCGACGACAGCGACGTCGCTACCATCCACAGATGCCATCAGCAGACGCCTGCGGGATGCTGGATTATATGGAAAAGACTTGTGAAAAAAGAAAGTAGTGGTAGTAAAGTAAGGTGAAAAGTCTGAAAAATTAGACGAGCTCGACTTCAATGGACGCGTAAGCACCTTCTCTGGTCTTTCAACCAATGGCGCGAAGCCATCTAAAGCGATCACTAGATAACTCCCTATTTTCTCATGGCAGCGGGGCAGCGTGTGATATGGGGTGTAACTGGGTCATCGATAATGGATTACAGAAAATTGTGATAGCTGATAAAGGCTGATAATGGTTCATGAAAGGTTTCTGGCTTTCAGCTATGTGGCATACACACGAAGCCTTGAAACTTTCTTATTGTAGCAACTGCTACCATACAGTACGTGCTACAAGGCGGCAAGCTCTACACTAACACTGTCGTCGAGGTGGCTCAACGCGCGCACCGACATGTGAAGATCAAAAGTGCGTGTGATCTAACCTTTGATCTATGGCCCGAC